TTTTTTATAAATATATTTAAATGTAAAAAATATATTTTAATTTATTTTAATAAATACAATTGAAAAGTTAAAAAATATTTTTCTTAAATTGTTATTAATTTCATTTTTTAATATATTAAATGCTTAGATATACAATAGTATTCAGATTTATTTTTATATCTGAATTTTCCATTCTCTTAATTTTAATAAATTCTATTTTTATTATTATTTACTTTAAATGACATATCCAGATAAAAAAAATTCTCAAAAATGATTAGGGAGAAAAAAAACAAAACCATAAAAATTTTTTTGAGTATCATTAATCAATTTGATTTGGGAAAATAACATTGAGGTCCCATGGAGAACAAAATACATCAAATAGGTCCCCTGAAATCTGATAATATTTTTGAAGTCCCAAAGGGACTTAGATGCAATTTTCAGAATCCACTAATTACTATTTTGCCCTGCCCCTGCCATTAGGGAAAAAAAACACGGGAGAATGAACTTCTGTGAGGATTTCTCGTGCAAGAAGCTTGAGGGAGAAGACATTGGGAAAGAGAGAAGGAGCCATTGATGATGAAAAATCTTCTCCATTACCATTATTGAACTCCAAAGTGCTTCCATGTGAATCTTCACAAATCTTCAGGTGTGAAACTTTCTTTTCTCTCCTCTCCTACCTTTCTTGACAGATTCTGGATTTGTTTGGGAATGAGAAATCAAAAAATCGTTTTTGCCTTTGGTATTTCAAAACTTTTGTTTTTGGTTTAGGATTTAGAAGTTAATGAATGGAAAAGCTGTGTTTTTGGTTGGTGTGTGTTGTGATTTAAGTTGGGTGTGTAGAATGATAATGGGTGCTCTGTTTTTGGGTGGTTTTCCTCTGTTCTGACGTTAGTTTAGTGGCAAAAGAAGAAAAAGATGAAGGTTAGTGAGGGTAGAAACCCTTAGCTCGAGATGGGATTGTGTTGTCAATCAGGCCGCGATTGTTGTCAATGTGTGCCGCTACACTTGTCAATGTAGCTCCTTAAGTTGTCAATGACAGTTGCATGCTTCTTGATGCAGGTTTAAGTTACTGATGGCATTTCAAAGCTTTTGTTTTTGGTTTAGGATTTAAAAGTTAATGAATAGAAAAGCTGTGTTTTTGGTTGGTGTGTGTTGTGATTTAAGTTGGGTGTGTAGAATGATAATGGGTGCTCTGTTTTTGGGTTATTTTTGGGTGGTTTTCCTCTGTTCTGATGTTAGTTTAGGGGCAAAGGAAGAAAAAGATGAAGGTTAGTGAGGGTAGAAACCCTTAGCACGAAATGGGATTGTGTTGTCAATCAAGCCGCGATTGTTGTCAATGTGTGTCGCTAAACTTGTCAATGTAGCTCCTTAAGTTGTCAATGACAGTTGTGTGCTTCTTGATGCAAGTTTAAGTTACTGATGACGAGTACGTCTGGAAAACATCTATTTTGCTTTGTTCACATAGGGGAAAAGTTTATAAATGATGGAGAAGATAATATGAGATATGTAGGAGGTAGTGTAAGAACAACTAATGTAAAGGAGGGCACAAGTTATGAAGAATTGAAGGAAATTACATAACCAATTGCTGGAAAAGAAAGCAACTCATTTGTTCTAAAATTCTTAGTTGTGTTTGATAAAAAAAACTTTTGTGGAGTTGGTAGATGATGATGGGGTGGAATATTTAATAAAGTTCAATGAAGAAAGTGGTCATGTGTATGTCGAAGAAAATGAAAATGAGGACCACCTAGAAGCAACAAGAGATAACACAATGGAGGAGCAAGATGTGTAAGTATAGTTTAAGAAAACTGTTATTGTGATTTCTTAGTATGTCAGTTGTTACTGTATTGCTACCAACTTGTCAATACATGCACCCTAACTTGTCATTTTCTGCAGGATTGATCAATCATTTGGAGGTGTCAATGAATTGTCTATGTCTCCACCTACCTTATTTGATGTGATTGGAGAGCCACAATCAATTCCTTGCGCTGTTGAAATGATCCCAACACCTACACCACAAATGAATTCCACAAAATGGAAGGATTTGATTATTGGCGAAGGACAAATATTTCCAAATGCCACTACTCTCTGAAAAACATTATACAAGTATAGCTTATGCCAAAAGTTTTCGTACCTTTTCATTAAGAATAATCAGCAAAAGATCATTGTGAAGTGTAAGGTTGATGGTTGTCCATGGTATATGGGTGCATATTCAATGGGAGCACATCAAGATACTGATTTTTTAACTATCAGAACGTACAAAAGTGAACACATTCATCATGCACAGGACAACTTAATTGTACCTCACTCAGGAAGGTCAAATTTAGCTGCTTCAATTGTGATTGATGACTTAAGGTGCAATGTTGACAAGAGTCCTAATGAAATTAGAAAGGACTTGTATAAAGAATATGGAGTGCAATTGAACTATACTCAAACATATAGGGTTAGGAAGAGAGCTAATGGAATTACATGGTCGAGTAGACCAATGGAAATTGATCCTGACACAGTTGCAAGATGGGAAGGCTCAGATAGCAACCGATTTGAGAGGCTATTCATTGCATATGGATGCTCAATTAAAGGCTTTGTGGAAGGTTGTAGACCAATTATTTATATAGATGGATGTCATTTGAGTGGTCCTTACAAAGGAACTTTATTATCAGCTTGTGCATTTGATGCAGACAATGAGTTGTTTCCTTTAGCATATGGTATTGTTAGCGGAGAAACAAATGATGAATGGACTTGGTATCTACAGAATCTGAAAGAGATAACCAGATCAGCACAAGTGACAATTGTCTCAGATCGAAGTAATGCTATTATCGGTACTGTCAGGACAGTATTTGATGGTGACAGACATGCTTTTTGCTATCGACATGTGAAAGAAAATTATAGTGCGCAGTATGTGAAAATCAATAGAGGTGTGAGACAGACCTCAGAAAATAACAAGGATAATGCACTTTATTTACTTGATGGAATTGTATATGCAAGGAATGATAATGAGTTTAATGTTGCAATGGGAAATTTAAGACTGTTTTGTCCTCAATTGGCACGATGGGTTGAATCTCACGGGGATATGGATAGATGGGCGCAAAGTAAATTTCCTTTTAAAAGATGGGATAACATCACCAATAATCTTGCTGAGTCTTTTAATGCATGGATGTTGAAAGAAAGGAAGCATGCCTTGCCGGTTTTGATACAAGAGCATCAAGAGAAGTTGGCCGAGAAGATGTTTGCTAGCAAGATGGGGATGAGAAGTTGGAAAAATGGTGTAGGACCCAATATTGAATCAAAGTTGTCGGAACAAATAGCAAGAGGTGCGTATATGGAGGCAACATATTATGGTGATGACCATATTTCGGTGCAGACAATACGTGAGGGATGCATCATCTATGTTGCTGTTGATCTGATTTCTCACAGATGTACATGTTTGGCATGGCAAATGAGTGGAATACCTTGTCCACATGCTTGTGCGGCAATCAAACTAGTTCACCGTAGTGTGTATGATTATGTAGATAATTGTTACAAATTGTCCACACAGGAGAAAATATATGCAAATAGCATGAGGCCAATTGCAACGCATGATTGTCCACAACCTGATACACCTACTGTGAGTCATATACTAACCCAAACATTCTTGCATCCACCTATAACCAAAAGGCCTCCAGGAAGGCCAAGGATTAATAGGATAGAATCTCAGTTCCAAAATAAGAAGGTTTATCATTGTGGAAGATACAAAGAGGCTGGACACACTGCCAAGACATGCAAGAACCCAAATCCTAGCTGAGAACATATTGAAGTCAGATATTTTTTGTATATGGATGTGAAGAGAATGTTTTGTAAATGGGTGTGAAGAGAATTTTTTGTAAATGGATATACACTACTGGGTAGTTTCATTATTACATGCAGCCCCTATGTTTTTTTTGGGATGGGTTGTGAAATAGATGTAGTTTCATGTGTATGAAGGTGTAAATGAAAGTTAGCTATGAATTCGCATGTTACATCTTAGTTGTCATTGCATGCACCCTGCGTTGTCACTAGACCTGTTATGACTTGTCAATCATTGCACTATGACTTGTCAATGAATTTGCTGATGTAAGTTGTCAACAACATGAATTCAAGTAACATAACCTTTTTTACCATGAAATGATATTTACAATCACTTTATCATATTATATTTTGGTTGTATGGTCATATATAATCATTATTAATGAAGTGTCAAAAACTTACCTCTCTCTTGTCCCCTGTCAATGGTGGCTCTATGACTTGTCAATGACAACACTGTGAGTTGTCAATAGAGTACTGTGACTTGTTTGTGAGAATACTGTCCTTTGTCAATGGTCGTACTATGACATGTCAATGCGGCACCATGACTTGTCAATAGACCACTGTGGGTTGTCAATGACAACACTATCCCTTGTCAATGGTTTATCCGGTGACTTGTTAATAGAGCACTGTCACTTGTCAATACGGCACTGTCACTTGTTAATGGAAACACTGTCCCTTGTCAATGGTTGCTCTATGACTTGTCAATGGGCTATTGTGACTTGTCAATACAGCACTGTGACTTGTTAATGCCAACACTATCTCTTGTCAATGGTTGCACTATGCCTTGTCAATGGGACACTGTCACTTGTTTCTGAGAACATTGTGCCTTGTCAATTGTCGCTGTGAAGAGAGCATTGTGACTTGTCAATGGAGTACCGCGACTTGTTAATGGCAACACTGTCCCTTGTCAATGGTTACACTATGACTTGTGAATGAAGCGCTGTGACTTGTTATGAAATTCTCATATCACTTGTCATTAACTCCTGTTATATTAGTTGTTATTTAAGATAACTCAGGTTGTTAATTTAAATGCAAGGTAACCTAGCATAATATGTCTGCACATATAAAGTAGAAATATTATTAAAAATGTAATAAAACCCTAAAAAGTAGTATTACAATATGTGATGACAAAGGTAATAATATTATAAACATAATTTGATCAGTTTGTTACAAAATAACCAATTTGCTAATCATCCTGCAACACATCATGGGCTAAGAGAACAAAAAATTAATAGACTACTCTATCTCCTCTTCTTGGTCTTGTTGTAGTCCGATAGCATTGACATCACTTGACCCCCATGTTCATTATTTGGATAGGTAACCAACCACCACAAATAGCCAACGTTCAACTCTTGTAGTTCATCATTGGAGTATCGTGGCATTGTATATCCTGCATTATCTCGAACAGTGCCATCCCACTCTTGTAGCCAAGAGATAACATGAACTCCACATAAATCACTACCAAGTAAATTGAATATGTTAGCACCTAGCAATTGTTATTGTGAATAAAAACAACATAACACAATCGAACAGAACAACTACACTTACGTATCATTCTGCACATAGACTTTAGCCCATTTCACTTCCTTGTCAATTTGGTCCTCATTGGCAAACAATTCTGGCTTAACAGCACGTAGCATCGAATGGAAACAGTTCATTTGGAAAAAAACACACACACAGACATAATTAAAAGGCATCAGTAACAACACAGCATCCAGTAACAAGGCAAAGAGCATCCAGTAACAAGGCACATAGCATCCAGTAACAAGGCATAAAGAATCCAGTAACAAGGCACATAGCATCCAGTGACAAAGGACAGAGCATCTACTGACAAAAAACGCCCCATCCACTAACAAGGGACAGAACATCCAGTGACAATTAACAAAGCATTTAGTAACAAGGGACAGAGCATCTAGTGACAACTAGCATAGCATCCAGTGACAACTACCAGAGCATGCAATAACAACTACCACAGCATCCAGTGACAACTAACAGACCATCCAGTGACAACTGACAACTAATATATCATCCAGTGACAAGTAACAGATCCAGTGACAACTGACAACTAATATATCATCCAGTGACAACTAACAGATCCAGTGACAACTACTAGAGCATGCAATGACAACTACCACAGCATCCAGTGACAATTAATAGACCATACAGTGACAACTGACAACTAATATATCATCCAGTGACAAGTAACAGATCATCCAGTGACAACTAACAACTAATATATCATCCAGTGACAACTAGCATAGCATCCAGTGACAACTACCAGAGCATGTAATGACAACTATGCAGACTGCTAGTGACAATTATAATAGTCATTGGCAAGTATAAAAGCTGTAAATAACTACTCAGTTTGTGTTGCCATGAATTGTTTGGGGTCAAACTGCCCTTTATTTGTCCTCTTTTTCTTCTTCTTTGCATCATGTTGTTGCTCACCCACCTTCTTCTTTGCTTCTTCTTCCTCAGCTTGTAATCTCATGAATGTGATGCTATCAATCGACGAATCAAGGGCATGGAAGGTCATGGTCTTTGTCTCGAAAACATAACAAAACCAATGATCTTGAAATAGAGTAGAACCAAAAATGAAATCGCAATCCCCGACATTGTATCCAATATATTCAGGTAATATTTCTCTTTCATGGTCCTCCCATTTCCACCTTAAAGGATTCGCCACCATTTTCTGCATGAAATCTACAGAAAATATATGGCGGTTAACTCGCCCCTTTTTTTCCTTTTGCTCTCCAACGAATGCCTTTGCCACCATAGTCATAAACTGAAATTGCAAATACAAAGAAATTACAACTCCTTAGCATACAATAACTCATTCTAATATTAACTATCTATGTGTGACTCACCCTGTCGTTTATCCATCTTCTACGTTGGAGACATTGCAACTCACCACGAGTTAGGAAGTATCCATACATCGATACAAAATATCTAACACAAATGAAACAATTATCAAGTTAGTAAATTTAGTAAATTCTGTAACATAATACAAAATTGGTCACTAAAACATAATACTTACTGCTCTTGCTCCTCTTCATTACACCTTACTGTACACATGTCAAATAGAGCTTGCCTGTCATCAATTGTTCTCTTTTTCCCAGCCTTGTTTTTAATTTCCAGAAATGGAGACTTAAGAGCTTTCCCCTTACTTATCACCCTTGTTGATTTCCTCACATGTTCGTTCCCTTCCCCTTGGGTGGCCTCATCCACTTCTTTGTCCTCTTCATCCTCTTCTTCTCTTTTATTTTCTTCTTCATCTACCTTGTCCTCATTTCCCTTCTCTTTTTCTTCTTCATGTAATTCTTCTCCACCCATCTCCTTTTCTGACTGACTTTCTTGCTCTTCTTCTTCATTTCTGTCATCTTGTGATTTGGATTGTTCTTCTTCATTTCTGTCATCTTCTTCCTCATCCTCTAAATCACTTCCTTTCTCAACTCTTTCCTCTTCTGTTTCAGATTCTTCTTCCTCATCTTTCTCCTCTTCACTTACATTGCCACTACCCTCCCTTAGTCTTGACTGAATGACCATCATTTCCTCCCCCAGCATAGACACTAATCGAGTATATGTCTTCTTGATCTCCTACACAAATAAATTTTAAAACAGTAAGCAACACTAGAAAAACAAAAATAAAAACAAAAAATTAATCATTAAGCCTACAAGTCCACATACCGGGTGAGTTAAATTTTCCGGATCAAATTTGGTGGATTGCTTTGCCAGATGCAAGAGTCCTCCATTGCTTTCCTTCTCCTCTTTAACTCTTTGCTATACTTTCTTTTCATCCCAATATGCAACAGCATGCTTTACATGTGCAGCTTTTCTTTCTCCCAGTGAAAAATTTTGTAGACAATATAACTGCATGTGACATGAATGATAAGTTAACAGCAGCCATTGACAACATTCAGACCATCAAATGACAACAGAAATATACAAATTATTATAGCACTTACCATTAGGAAGTATAGACAACCTGGCACATTCTTCTTCTTCTCAGTCAACTTGCCTTTTTCCAATTGTTTTTTTATACACTTCAATCCCCTTATATAGTTCATGCAACACATAAGATGACCAATCAAACTTACCCAATCTATCCTTTGTTGATAGTATTACCTTCAACAAATAATCACCAATACTAATACTTGCATTAGGACATAACAACGTTCCCAATGCATACATGACAAACAGAACCTGAAAATTTTCATCTTAGTTCTCCTCAGTCAATAATGATGCTATCTTCTTGTATGGAATATTGCCATACACAATCCTCCACTGCTTGAACACTTCATCTTCATTATTCACAACTACTTTAATCTCTTCTCCATTAAATGGTAGCCCTAAAAATTCATGCACATCTTTTTCCCTCATTTCTCTTCTCTTCCCTCTTATGGAAATGTTTTTCGTTGCAAGATCAAATGCAGACATAAACTCTCCACACAATTCTCTTTGAATTGTGTGGCAACAGACTTCAACTAACTTGTCAAAACCTATTTTTTTTAGCCTGTTCATCAATTCCTTCCTCTCTTTGATGTGCTTGCAAACTTGCATGAATTGTTTTGGCGCACATCTTGTATAGAACGGAACCATAGACTTCTTGGACTTGGTGGGAGGTCTTTGCTCCTTAGCTCTTTGACAATATTCCTCCCTTTATTGTTCTGATAATTTATCCCACGCCTTCCTCACATGTGAATTCCCTACTTCAAGTGATTTGTATTTTCTTGAGCTTTTCTTAGAGAATTCCTCCATAAACAAGGCATACCCGGAAAAATTACTGCTTCTTTGTGCATCCTTTCCCATCTTCTTAACCTGCAAAACAAGACCAGTACACTGAACTTTAATTCTTTTTAAATTCCTAGTAAACTTTTGCACTACGAAACAAAGAAAAAAATAACTTGACACTAGAATGAACATGTGGCATGATAACAAATGATGGATCAAACAGCACTGAATCAAGTAATTATTTTCCTGGTTTCTTGTTTTGCTTCTTGTTTCAAATCATATACGAACTACATAAAAGCCTTGATGCACTAACACCAACCGTTCATGTTCTTCTTTATTAAAAACCAACCATATATTTCTTACCAAATGACAAAGTTCCAGAGATGAAGCCATAAAAAAAACAAACATATTTTTCTTACCCAAGGGATTCCAAATCACTTTTAAAGTAGTTTTGTCTTACTACTGTCACAAAGGTTCAAATAATTAGTTATCCAATTTGAAGTAATCCTCTGTTTCAATCCTTATGGCTCCTAAAAGACCCTCTTTTTCAATGAAAGGAGGGTGGCTAACTATGGAGACAGATTGGCTATTAAATAGAAATTACTTTCATGGCAGACGGCAAAGGAGAATGCAATACACGAAGTTCTAACTTCCAAGTCGATGAACCCACACCTATAAACTACAGTGACATAATCTTTTACATGGAAAATTCCCCCAAAAAAAATTTATCTCATGAACAGCAGTCACAAAGAAATTGTTCGAACATAAAACGCCAAGTATAACTCATTTCACCCAAACAAAATGTAATACAGTGACAACCAATGAACCTGTGAAAGTGAACACTGCCTGTAACCCAACTTAAACACAAAAATGGAGTTCTTCATTACTTACCGTGACAACAAATACTTCGACGATGCTTTTAGACTTCAGTTACGGTCTTCACTGCAAAGATTATGAGCAACGACGACGACAATGATTTCAACAAGATCGCACAGTCACCACCCACCGCAAGAAAAGAGGCTTTCAACTAGAAATCAAAACAAAAGAGAGAAGAAACACGGCTGACATGCAGAGAAATTGAAACGGAACAGGGGTTCGGCGCTTAGATGAGACTATGGAAGGTGAGAGTGTGATTTTGAAGTGTAATGGAATCGGGGTTCGGCGTGAAATATGGCTTGGAACCAGAAAACAGATTTTGAATTGCAACAGGGGAGGTTTCAGACTACCTTCAGCATATTCGTGCAATTGTTGTCGGGGCTTCGGCGCGCAATAAGGCTTTCAACTAGAATATCAGATTTTGAATCACAACAGGGGAGGTTTCAGACTACCTTCAGCATATTGGCATGGTTGCTGTCTGGGGCAATACGGTCTTTTCAAATTTTATTAAACTTCACTGAGGTCCCTTTGGGACTTATGATTCATTAGGACATTTCCAGGGACCTATTTGCTGTATTTTTGATTCTGTGGGACCTGAATGTCATTTTCCCATTTGATTTTCATAGTATTTGGATTTCACCCTACATCTACTTGAAAGATGATATGTAGCTAATTTTTTTGGTGGAATTTAAAAAGCTGGAAAAAGTTAAAAAAATAAAAGAAAATGAGTGAAAATCAAAAGTGCAGCGTTTTGCCTTTTGAATGAGCTCGGTTAATTGCTAGGGTGCCATAATCGCTTCTTCTTCTTCATGACGACTGCTAAGGGCGAAGGTAACGGCGGCTTCTTCCTCTGGAATCCTAGCCACCAGCACGCCATTAATCATCCATATTGTTCATCACCGTCATCGGCCAACATTCACATTCCCTTCATCCACACCAAAAGCCGTGACTTCTTCCTCCATCAAGCTTCGATGGTGACAGCGTCCCTCATTATCACCATCAAGCTCAACTTCTTCCTCTAGTACTTCATCATTGCTGTGTTGTCTTCAATAAAGATCTGTGCTCTTCTCCTTGATGTGGAGATTAATTAACCCCTGGGCCAATTAAGAGAGTTTGAGGCGTAGATCGAATGCGGCTAGGATTGAGGTACGAAGTCACAGGGTTCAAGCTCCAGGGGAATGCTTTTTAAGCTCAGGTCGCTGTTCGTGCTTCAGTCTTCAATAAGTTATATATATGGTTTTTGGTCCCCTAATCTTGCTTTTGCATTCAATTTGTAATAATTTCATATCTCTAATAATTTGAAATCTTATTTTCTTTTGCTATACTGGGTGGATGAGTGTTTAGGACAAGTTTTCTTGTTGGTTGTGGGAGTTTTCTCTACAGTAGCTACGAGATCTTTTCTTGCTTCAAGACCAGCTATTCTCTTCTTGTCACAACCTTTTGCTGAATACGATTTTGCTAAATGTAAGTTATACGATTTTTGGTCCTATTTTTCTGAACATATTTCCTCTTTTTGCTGAATGTTGTGGTGTGCAATTTTAGACCAGCAATTCTCTTCTTGTCACATATGTCGTGTTGACTGTTGCTTGGTTTTGAGAAGGCTTTCTGTTATCTTAATGCCAATATGATTCTATGCCCCACCCCCATGACTTTGTAGGATTAAAGTCAGAGTATCTTTGAGTTGAACATTCTATTTTGCTGAATCTGATTCTATTTTGTTGAATGAGTAATATTCTTCTTATCTTAGAGCATCTTTCTTCCCACTAATAGCGTGTCTTTGAGTTGAACATTATTTCAGCTTTTCCCCTTAAATGCATTCTCACACAAATGATTTCCTAATAATTTTAAGTTAATTCCTACTATTTTAAATTGACTCTAAAAGATACACACACATACACACAAATTATTTTGGCTTTATTAGTTTGCAGTTAGCTAAAATCACCGATTTATACGGCTCATTACTAGTATTTTTGCATCTTTGTTATTATGCAATGAAAATAAAAAGAGAAGCTAGTGTCGTACAGTAGCAGCTTGAGTGTGAAGCAGGAGGAGTGGAGACAAAAGAGAATGATCAAAGAGAGTAATTATAGGTTTTTTGACATCTTCATCACTCACCCACGCTTCCTTATCTTCTCACATTTAAATCCATCCTTGTTGTTGTTTTTCTTTTTAGGCCAACAAATCTATCCGTGTTGTTACCGTTGTTTCAGCATACACCTTTTTGGTTCTTTTTAAAAGTCCCCTTATTTTGGACTATGACACTACAGGCCAATTTTCTATTTATCACGGTTTCGTATATTAATAAAAGTTGAATATAGGCATATATTTTGCATGGAATGTGAGGTAACTCATTATATATATACCTGCACCTCTTTGACGAATCGTTTTTTCTTAAGAAAAGTATTTATGATTCTATGCATATAAGTCACAGAGTGGGTCATTTCTTAAAATTTTTTGAAAAAAATATTATCCCTAGTATAAGTTGAACACATCAATCTCAGTTGGAATATATATATATATATATATTTGTCCGATCCACTACTAATCATTAGGCAATATTCTACCATGAGGGATAGATCATATAGGTTTATATTTATAGTTCTATACCCAAACCTCTCTAATAAGTATATTGCCGAAACTTGACTTCTTTAACTAGGTAAAAAAAAAATGAAGTGTTTTACTTTGTGTATTGACTCTTGGATATTGCGTTGCAAAGGCACCGATATTGGGGTAGTGGTTACATGGAAAAAGAGGAAATGCAAGAGTGGTACCTATATATTAAGTGTATATTAATGTCCA